TGCTTTCCCCTATGCCCTTTCCCTCAGTTTTGGGGGTCCTCCCCATCCTTCAAGATCCCACTCCTAGACATTGGACCACAGGATTGGGTTTAAAAAAAACCTACTGGTCTTAAAGCCTTGGCAGGAGAGCCTAAGAGCCAGAGAGCGCAGTGCTTAGACAGGTATCATTTGGGTGGGCTGGGGTTTGTGGGCCCAGCCTGGCCCTTTGCGGCAATATATGTGGGGGATGTGCCCCTGGGGCTCCTCCCTCTCAAGTTCAGCTTCCCAAACAACGCTTGGGCATTCATTTGTCTTTCCAGAGTTTCTGGTCTGACAGTAGGAGTCTCAGCCCCACAGACACAGAAAAAGAAAATTGATCATTCGGCAGCCTGGTTTTATTTTAGAACCCTGTTCATAGCCACCTTGTGACCTTCTGTTTTGTGCTGGGCTTTCTTTCCAAGTCCCTTGGCTTGGATCCCCAGCTAGGTTCCATGGGTCCATCTCTGACTGTCACTGTTCACCAACTGTGTCCTTTGTCACATGGTATGCTGCTTGTCTCAGAGATCAGAGCCATTTTTTTATCTCTGGCTCCCAGTGGGCCCTGGAGTGGGCAGGGACCAGGTCTGTTTCATTTTGCGGCTGTATGCCCAGTGCCATCCCTGGGCCTGGCTCAGCGGGGTTCAGTCTGTCTGTCAGGTAAGTAGCTGAGCACCCCAACTGTGAGCAGGAGGCCGAGGAGGACGAGGAGGAGGAGGATGAGAAAGACAAAGGGAAACTGAAGCCCAACCTTGGCAACGGGGCCGACCTGCCCAATTACCGCTGGACCCAGACCTTGTCGGAGCTGGATGTGAGTGGCCGGGGCTCGGGTTAGGAGGTTAGGGAGCCAGCCTGGGGCTCCTGCTGACCTCCCCTGCCCCATGCAGCTGGCGTTGCCCTTCCATGTGAACTTCCGGCTGAAGGGGAAGGATGTGGTGGTGGACATCCATCGGCGGCACCTCCGGGTGGGGCTCAAGGGGCAACCAGCGATCATTGACGGGGAGCTCTACAACGAGGTGAAGGTGGAGGAGAGCTCGTGGCTCATTGAGGACGGCAAGGTGGTGACGGTGCATCTGGAGAAGGTGTGAGCGGCCTGGTCTCCTGGTCTGAGTCCTGATGGAGAAAGGAGGGAGGGTGTCTGCTCATTCACTCAGGGACCATGCCGGGGGCCTAGTGGACACATTTAATCTGCACAGGACTTTCAACGTAGGTCTGTCCCATTTTATTTTATTAAAAAAAAATGTTTTTACGTCTATATTTAAGGGGGAGAGAGAGAGAGAGATAGCATGTGAGCATGGGAGGGGCAGAGAGAGAGACCGAGACAGAATCTGAAGCAGGATCCAGGCTCTTAGCTGTCTGCATAGAGCCCAGCATGGGGCTCGAACTCAAGAGCTGTGAGATCATGACCTGAGCCAAAGTTGGACGCTCAACCAACTGAGCCACCCAGGTGCCGCGCACCCCCCCCCCATTTTTTTAATTTTTGAAAAATTTTTTTTTATGGTTCGATCTAAAATTCCTATTTTAGAATCAGGAAAAGGGCAGTTCAGATTTGCCCAGGCTCCTACCTGTAGGTAGGGATGGAGTCACGATTGAGTCTTTGATACCAAAGCATCTTGTTTTACATTAGGTTTGTACATGCATTCAATGCAGCAAATACCTGAGTATGTACTATGTGCCAGACACTGTTTTAAGTACTGGTGAGAGAGCACTGAGCAAAACATAGAAAATTGCCTTCAGGAAGCCTCGCCTCATTCCCTCAGAGATGCGACACAGACACCAGTAAATAAATGTAGTCCCTGTAAAGTGCCATGAGTCAAAGGAAAGCTTTCCATGGCACGTCAGGCCTGTCCCAGCCTACCTGCCTTTCACTCACCTCTCCCATGTCCTTGCACTAGCTTCTCCCAACTGGAATGTCCTCTCTTGCTTTTTCATCTGGTGTACCACGTGTCCCTCAGGCCTAGTCCTGGTGCCACTCTAACTTCTGTCCCTCTACCCTGGATGAATAGCTCCCTCTGCACTTCATTTTTGCCCTGATGACACTGATTTGTAACTGTCTCCATTTGCTTCCCAAGCCACTGGGGATGGCAGAGGTCTTGCCCATCTGCACCCTAGGTCCCCGCACAGGGCTTTGTGGGTCCCAGGTACAGGATAGAGGAGAGAGTTGGGTTTTGGAAAGGTTGGGGGGTGGTTCCTAGGGTACAGAGTGAGCTACCTCCCATCTCCCGGTGGTTCCCCTCCTCACAGATCAACAAGATGGAGTGGTGGAGCCGTTTGGTATCCACTGATCCTGAGATTAATACCAAGAAGATCAACCCTGAGAACTCCAAGGTGAGCCTTAGCTGGTTGTGTTGGGCCTCAGCTGGGAGGTGAGGGCTTAGGTGGCCCCAGAGCTTCACCCATCTTTGTCACTACCTGCCCTCAGCTGTCAGACCTGGACAGTGAGACCCGCAGCATGGTGGAAAAGATGATGTACGACCAGAGGCAGAAGTCTATGGGGCTGCCCACCTCGGATGAGCAGAAAAAGCAGGAGATTCTGAAGAAGTGAGCAATGCAGAGATGGAGGCTTGGGGGGTGGGGGGGTAGTTCTGGGGGGGGGAGGTGGGTGTTGGGTCTAGGCCTGGGTGACAGCAGTGAGTGGGTCACTGAGCAGGACACAGGGGCCGCCCTTCCCCTTCCAGAATGAGCCAGCCAGGTTTATGGATTGATAGCCTCAGCTTGCCTACTCTAATCACTTTCTGAGGTCATCTTGAGGACAAGGCCACCTCAGGGTAGGAAGGGAGAACACAAGCGGTCATTGCCATCTATAGGAAAACCCTGAGGCTCTACCGCTTGCCTGGCCTGGCTCCAAGTTGCTCAGGGTTCTAAAGAAATTAGACCTGACGTGGGAGGTTGGGAGAAAGGGGCTAAGTTTCCGGGAGAGGGACGGCCTGATTTACCTTCTTCCTACTTTCCTTCCCCAGGTTCATGGATCAGCATCCGGAGATGGATTTTTCCAAGGCCAAATTCAACTAGCCCGTATATGCCTCCCTGAACTCTTGGGGCTGAACCCCAGCCATCCACCTTTTCCTACCCTTCCCTGGGACTTGGGGGCCTCAGGGCTGGGACAGGTATGGGACTGGCCCAGACACACTGGTCCCAGGGCATCATGGGAGAAGGGCTGGGGCCTTGTGGGGGGTGTCTTATCTTCCCCAGTTGGCCTACTGTTACACATTAAAACTATTTACTCCACCTGTTTTCTCTTCCCTCTGGTCTTTCCCTGGGGGACAGGCCTCTTATTGCTGGTGCTGGGGGCTTGGCTTTTAGCCCAGCTTCTGCCATGTGACCTAGAGCAAGTCCTTACACCTCTCTGGGGCTGTTTCTCATTACTTAGAGGGAAAATTAAAACAAGGCTTTTAGTCTGTGACTGAGCAAAGGTGAGTTTTTCTGGATACAGGGATCAGAATACGTGTCGTATTCTTAAAGGGGCCCATGACTCAGCAGAATTTAAGACCCACTGGAGTTGATTCCGTTTTCATCTCTAAGACAGTTTCTCACTGTGGACATTCTCAATCTTGGAGAGGCCTTGACCTGGATGAGATAGCAGAGCTGAAGGAAAGGGGACAGTCTTGTCACTGGTACTGGGGCCTTGTGGTCACAGTCCCCAAGGGGACCATCTCCATTTTGTGTATTTGATAGGGAGCTGGATAGTTTGCCTAGTTGTCGCTTGACACAAGGTGCCTGTGAGATAATAAGATGCTGTGGGGGGTGAGGTGGATCCTGGATGTCTATCTTGTTCAGTCAAGAATGGGCTGGTGGGTCTGCTTTCTCCTCATTGCTGAGAGGACTAAGACACCCCTGTGTGTGAAGAGTAGCTAAGTAGGATCCTCAAGGGGACCCTACTTCTACCCCAAGCAGGTCAGCTTGCTAACTTTGGGGCAAAACTGCCAAGAGGCCAGCTTCCAGGTTGAGAGCCACAGTTACTTGTCATGTGGCCAAGTTCCTTGAACCCTCTGAGCCCCAGCCTCTTGGTCCATGAAAGGATGACCCCATTCCAGGGTTGTTGGGAAGGTCCAGAAGATCCCAGTGGACCACAGTGCTGTCAGAACCAGGGAGAGGTAGAGGGAGCCGAACTGCAAGTTGGAGGCTGGGTGGGGGCTGACCCATCCTCAGGGATTTGGGGAAACTGCAGGGATGGGCAGTGAACCGGGGCGGGGGTGGGGGGGCGCTAGGCCTACCTAAAAGAATCCCTCAACAATGACAAAGCACTTGTTAGACCTTCCTTAGGTACAGAAACTGCTTCTTTATTGGGGAAACCTGACAGGTAGACATTCTTGGTATCATTTTAGCCTTATGACTGCCCCACAACACTGAGGCAGGCTGGGCACCCTATCATGTCTCTTGTGCAGCGGCCAAGCAGATTGAACAGAAAGGACAGTATCTGCTGAGATGACCAGGCCGTCTTCTGTTACCTTTGTCCTTGCAACTGTGGTTGTGTTAGCATCCAGAACACCATCAGCCAAGAAACAACAGAACATAATGTGGAGTGGGCACGGCCCACAGAATTCCAGACAGGCCCTGCCTGCTCCCTAACCCAATCCATTAAAATAAGCTTCTTTGAGCTGTCACCCTCTCCCTCCCCATCACGGGGAGAGGGAGGTTGGCATGTTTGGTTATGGGGTATATGTTAAGGGGATAGAGATAGGATTCAATCCCAGAAGGTAATTTCAAAGTCTTTGCTTTCCATGACCGAGGCTGCCTGAAGACCAGGGGCAGGAAGGAGCAGGCCCAGGCAGGGGTCAGGCCAGCAGGGGATCCAGGGGGATATGGGCACAGTGGCCCAGTGAAATGCACATGGTCCAGGAACCAGTCAGCTGAGGCAGGAGGAGCCACGGTGGCCACTGCTTCTGGTCTCATGGTCCAGCTTCCTCCAAAGGGGGTCCTGCTTCCCCTCTTCATGCTGTGGGCTATACTCCCAGAAGGGGTTGCCACCATGGGCCTGGTTGGGGTTAGCAGTACACCTGGAGCAGTGGCGCTCCTGATGAATCTGTGTCTGTGCCCTGGAAGGACGAGTCGTGGCTGGCTGGGTATCCTGAGAAGGGAAGAGGAAACAGGCTCAGAGAGGGGAAGGAGCTCATCTAGGTTCCAGGGACAGGGAAAAGCCTGCTGAGAAGGAGCAGAGTAGGACTTGAGCTTGGGTCAGTCTGATCCTGGCTGGGTGACCCACTCGGTTTCTTGACCTCCCTGAGCCCCAGCCTTGCTGTCTGTAAATGGGTAATGACCTCACTCCCGGGGGCTGGTGAAGACCAACAAAACAGTAGTAGCACACAGGGTAGAGTGTTTTCAGCACCAGTGGATAGCACCCCCCCCCCCCCCCCCCCCCCCCCCCCCCCCGCCCCTTCACTGTCCTCCCCAGTAATACGGGCTTAGATGCAGCTTCTGAACCCTGCGTTCAGGGACAGCCCCCCGAATGTCTCCCAAGTGAACCCTTTAAGCCAGCCTGCAGGATTGGGATGGGGTCTGGCTGCTCGGGCTTCTGGTCCCTTTCTGATCCTATGCCCACCCACCCCAGGAGGAAGCTGAGAGGGGAGAATGGAGGGGGGTTGCCAGAGGGGACTGTAGGGCAGTGTCCTCTGTACTAGTCAGGTCAGAACCAAACCTGGGGCTCCATAAGGCCTCAGCTTCCTGGCGATGGCATCTGCAGTGGTCTCCTGGGAGATCTGCACTGTGAGTTCTAGGGAGGGAACAGGAGGGGGCAGTAGTCATTATCACATCCTTTTAACCCTAGCCCCCACCAGCTCCCAGCCCGATGAAGGAGGGGTCACCTACCCCTTGGCTGGGTCAGAGAAACAGTGTTTAAAACAAAGACACAGGCAGTGTGTGTGCGTGTACACACGCATCTGTGCGGTGGTGGGTGGGTAGGGGTTTTGGTTAGGGCAAAGGTCCAAATTCATAATGGGTTCCTGGGTCCTCTTAACCAGGTTAGGCCTGCAAGTTACTCTGGCAGGTGGTAGCAGGGGACAGAAGGAGCCTCTTACGGGATGCAGAGGAGTTCAGAAAAGGAAGGAAAAGGAGGAAGAGCAGCGACTGGCTGAAGGGTGGACCCACAGTGGCCCCAGACCCCAGCGCAGCCCTCCCTTGGTCAGCACCTCCTCTGCTCTGCCCCTCAGCCATGTGGAGCTCCACCTACCATCCTGGCTGAGCCCTGAGCCCACCATGGTCTCATGGCCACTGTCAGGGGCGGCAGCAGGGGCAGCACCCCGTGTGGAGCGCCCCTCTGTGGTCTGCGGGCGGGTGCGGCTTTTGCGGGTACTGATGCGAATGATACCACGAACCAGGCGGCCCTCGGCATCCTGCTCATCCAGGTGGTAGTCCTGGGTGATGCTGCTGATAAGGTCCGAGATTTTACTGGTCTTCTCCAGGAACACAGTGTCTGATGTGCACTTGGCCAGCTCGTCGATCTGGTGCACACTGAACAGCTCTGTCAGCTTCTTGAAGATGAGCACATCAATCTCTCGGCTGGACATGGAGCCGCTTCCTATCTCGGGCAGATCCAGGTCCGACTCGTGGAAGGAGTAGTACTCTTCAGAGCCACGGGGGCTGCTGGCAAGGGTGCTAGGCAGGCTGTGCCGCATGGGTGGGGGCTCGGCCAGTGGCTCCTTGCAGCAGGAGTCCGCATCAGGGGCTGGGGAGGTGGCACTGCGGTAGGGATATACAGGGATGCCTTTGAGCTTGACGTCAGGGTAGCTGAAACTGCTACCCATGGTTGACTTGAGCCGTTGGCCATCCCGCTGACCAGGAGGCGCACGGTCGGGACTGGGGGGCACTCCATTGTGTTCTTTGGACCAGTTGGTGTCAGTAGCCCTCTCAGGGGAGTCCCCAGCAGACAAGCAGGGGCTGCCACCCCGCACGCAAGCTCCACAACGCTGGAGGCAATTCCGGCATCGGCGGAAGCAGAAGGCAGCCCGGCACCAGTCCCACACCCAGGGTCGCCAGAGCAGGCAACAGGCCGGGGGCTCAGCAGCAGCCTCAGCAGAGCCGGAAATGAAGGTAAGGCTCTCAGGCCCATGGTGGCCAGGGTCCTTGGGGTCTGGCCTGCGGGTGCGGCGGCTTGGTGGGGGTTGGGATGGCTCATCAAAAGTCTCCAGGCATAGCTCTGTTGGCCGCTCCCAGGGTCCCAGGCGTGGGGGCCCAGATGATGGGCGGGGGTGTCCGGGGCGGGGCATGGCTCATTGCATGATTTGTTGCAGCCAGGCACCTGTAGAGGAGAGGCCAGAAAGGAGTCAGGATCAAGGGTGCGGTTATGCCCATGAACCCTCACCTAGTATCCCTCCCTCCCCAAGAGGAAGTTCTGTCTCTGGTCTAACCTACACGTCAAAATCTCCTGGGACGTCATGCCCATTGGGATGGCTACTATTGAAAAACCAGAGGATGACAGGCATTGAAGATGTGAAGTGGGAATGTTTGTAGAATGGTGCAGCTGCTGTGGAAAACTGTGGCAGCTCCTCCAAAAATCAAACACAGAACTGCCCTATGATCTAGCAATTCCAGTTCTAGGTATACACCCAAAAGGACTGAAAACAGGGACTTAAACAGGTATTTGTATTCCAATGTACATACAGCATTATTTGCAATAGGCAAAAAGTGGCAACAATCCAAATGGCCATTGATAGATGGATAAATAAGCAAAACATGATGTATACATACAATTGAATATTATTCAGCCCTAAAAAGGAATGAAATTGATACAGGCTACAACATAGATAAGCTTTGAGACAAGTGAAATAAACCTGACCCAAAGGACAGATATCGTATGGTCCCACTTACACGAAATATCTAGAATAGTCAAATTCTTAGAGACAGAAAGTAAAATGGTGGTTGCCAGGGGCTGGAGGCAGGGGAAAAGGGGAAGTTAGTGTTTAATGGGTAGAGTTCCACTTTGGGAAGATGAAAAAGTTCTGGAGATGGATGGCAGTGATGGTTACACAACAATGTGAATGTGTTTGATGTCACAGAATTGTATGATTAAATGGCAAATTTTAGGGGTGCCTGGGTGGCTCAGTCGGTTAAGTGGTTGTCTGACTTCAGCTCAGGTCATGATCTCACAGCTTGTGAGTTCGAGCCCTGTGTTGGGCTCTCTGCTGTCAGTGTGGAGCCAACTTTGGATCCTTCGCCCCCCTCTCCCTCTCCCCCCTCGGCCATGCATGCGTGTGCTCTCTCTCTCAAAAATAAACATTTTTTTTTAAAAGGTAAATTTTATGTTATGTATATTTTACCACATAAAAAGAAAAATCCCCTAAGATATCACTTTCTAGGGAATGGTCTCCCCCAGTTTATTCCCACTGTTGGTAAGCCTACCCAGCACAGAGTCTCTGAGGCTACTCAACAAATGCCTTTCCATGTGACCTGCTACAGAACCTGAGCATTACTACCTTCCCTTTCCCCTCTTCCTTCAATCAGACATGGGGCTGTAACAGTCCCCACGTCAATATTTCAATCTGGCTCAGATTTGCTCTCCTAGCAATATTTAACACCAAGCACTCTTTTGCTTCCTTTGATTAGACAAGAAAGCCACAAAACACACCTTCTTTCCCTTTCTGACTTGGTTGCTAGCAAACTCAGAGCAAAAACTTCATTTATTCCACAAACACTGAGGCTGGCCCTATGTTAAGGCACTGCAAAACCAAGGATGAATAAACTACAGACCCTGTTCTTGTGATTCACTCATGGTTTTGTAGGGAAAACAGATGCTTAAAAGATCCTAAGATGGAACATGTAGGATATATGAGGCATTATTGGAGCGAATAACTATGCCTCAGGGAGTTAGGGAACATTATGTAGTGATATGTTTGGGAAGGTTCTTGATTACATGTAGGGGTTTCCAAGTAATAAACTGGATTTTCTGTGACATTGATCCTTTATCTTTTTCTCCCTGATTTAATGGCACCGAGGTCGTAGAACTGGTGGTATGTGAGGAATTTGGGACTGAACATCAGGATATCTGTATTCTAGTCCCAGTTCTGGCTCTAACAGACAATGTGCTTTGGACAAATAAATGCCACCTCTCTAATCAGGGCCACGGTCATGTCACCCAGGTACTGTTGAGACTCCCATTCTGGCCACTTCCATTTCTTTCTACTTACTGCAGCCAGGGAGAATTTTAGCAATCTGGAGAAACCTGGCAGACACCACTTTAATCAAATGATCAAAATTAACATCACTGATAATGGGATGAACTGACATCATGTGCCTCCTGATACTCTGCACTAAGAAGGATATGACATTACTTAAGTATTTCTGCCAAAAAAACATAACCTGAATATAATCAGGAGGAAACATCAGACAAGCCCAACTTAAGGGCATGACAACTAAATGCAATGTGTGATCCTGGATTGATCAAGAGGAAAAATTGGAAACTGGGTAATGTGGATAAGTGGTAAAATTTACAAGTAGACTGTATATTATTGAATAGTATTATGCCAATGTTAAATTTCCTGGAGTTGATTACTATGGTTATATAAGATAATGCTCTTAAGAAACATACACTGAAGCACTAAGGGGTAAAGGAGCATGATGTTGGTAACCTAATCTCAAAAGGTTCCCAAGAAAATCCGAAGGTTCATGTGTCTCGAGAGAGAGGGAGGGAGGGAACGTCAGCCATGGTGGCTAGGTAAGAGGATACAGGAATTCTTTATTCTTGTAATTATTCAATCCACTTCCCCGGCCCCATTCTGCACTCCTTCTCTAAGGAGCCTCCATATCCCCAAGTGGGATGGTAACCTGTCTTCCTACAGCTTTCTGCTGGGCTCTGTCAGCTGGGTCAGCCTTGAACCCATTGTTTGAGGTTAAGCCTATATGACCCCAAGGGGCAGGGACTGTGTCTGACTCCTTTCTGCCTCAGTGTCAGAACAGCGTCAGATACAGTAAGTGCTTCAGGGGACTGACACATTTTGTGTGGCCTTAGAGTAGAATCAGGACCATGGGGCAGAAAGAAAAAGGACTTCAAGCTCTAGGCTGACCAGAATAGGGGTAGCAGCAGTCTCAGGGAAGGGGGTACAGACAGAGACTAATAGATGACTTGAAAGTCCCTCACAACCCAGACAGGCAAGTGGTTAAAAACCTTTGCCTTGGGGGCGCCTGGGTGGCGCAGTCGGTTGAGCGTCCGACTTCAGCCAGGTCACGATCTCGCGGTCCGTGAGTTCGAGCCCCGTGTCGGGCTCTGGGCTGATGGCTCAGAGCCTGGAGCCTGTTTCCGATTCTGTGCCTCTCTCTCTGCCCCTCCCCCGTTCATGCTCTGTCTCTCTCTGTCCCAAAAATAAATAAATGTTGAAAAAAAAATTAAAAAAAAAACACCTTTGCCTTGGTTTGAGCAATGTGGGGTTGGGGGTATGGATTCATTCAGTCACTCAATTAACAAATATTTAGTGAAGGCCTACTGAGTGCCAGACACTGTTCTAAATTTTGGTGGATAAAACAGGCAAAAATTCCCTAACCTCAGTCAGGAGTCTGCATTCTAGTGAATGAGTTAGTTATTGATGGCCCACATTGTTCTATGTACTGTAAATGTATTAAACCAATTTTCACAACCCTATTTGTTGGTGGTATTATTATTATTATTATTATTATATACTATATACCTAGAGGTCCAGATAGGTTAAATAAGTTATCCAAACCACACATCTACTTTTACCCAAGCAGCCTGGCCCAGAGTCTTACTCAATACCTCATCCTATCTGTTACTTGGGAGGGAAAGGGGCAAAGTGGCCAGCTGCCAGCTCCATGGACAAGCCTATACCCACGGAGGGACCACATAGGGAGCCCTCAGCCTTCCAGGCTCAGGCCTTGGATGAGGAGGATGGGTGCGTCTACACTGTTTCAACCACACTGAGCTCTGGGGTATGTAAAACCTTCAAGGGGTTACTGATGAGGGTCTGGATCACTCCTTCTCTACCTCCAAGGCTTTAGGATTTGCTACTATTCATTAAATTCACCCACCAGGGGCACCTGGGTGGCTCAGTCAGTTAAGCTTCCGACTTTGGCTCAGGTCATGATCTCATGGTTCGATTTCAAGCCCAGCATCGGGCTCTCTGCTGTCAGCACGGAGCCTGCTTCAGATCCTCTGTCCGCCCCTCTCTCTGCCCCTTCCCTGCTCACACTCTCATACTCTTTCAAAAATAAACATTAAAAAAAAATAAATTCATCCCACCA